GGATGAGTAACAGCTATGCGGACTAACAGGTTCACACGTTTGAATAGAAACGCGTCAACCTGCAGGCACGGTTCCTATTTACGCAATCTTTATTTTCAGCCTTTTGGTCGCTGCAGTCATGCTGCCTTAGATAAATCATTTTTTAAGTTCTGTTTGGCAACGAATTACTCACGAGTAGATGGAAATATGACCAGGTCTGACCAGGGACGTGTGTCTGTTACATGCTTTCTCTGACTTGCTCAAGCTCTAAATATAGTCTCCGTACAGTGTTACGATGACTCAGTGGCATCAATTTCAAGCACTGTGTATAAAAATGCTTCGAACATAACCAGCTTCCAAATGGGGGTGGGGGAGGGTCTTAGGAAAAGCCAACTTTACTGAAATTCTCACCCTCCTGCATTTTGCATTTTGTTGCAGGTCATCACTCCCCAAAACGGACGCTACCAAATAGACTCTGATGTTCTCCTGATCCCCTGGAAACTGACTTACAGGGATATTGGCTCCGGTTTCATTCCTCGAGGGGCCTTTGGAAAAGTGTACTTGGCACAAGATATGAAGACAAAGAAAAGGATGGCGTGTAAACTGGTATGTGTTTTCTAGCCAGACACCGCACTGCATGTTTGGCGTTCTGACTTTTGTGTGTTCATCTGCATTAACCAAAGGTTCTCACCCTTTCACTGCATCTTATCTAGCAGTGCTTTGCCCCAGAACATTCGTTTCTCTGGATTTGCTTGCTACCTGGGGCCATTCAGCCCCTAAATCTCTGCTTAGGAGCCTAGTTGATTTTAATCTAGATGGTTAAAAGGCAAGTGCTTATTTAGCACTGACTTAATGTGGAAGGGAGCTGCCCTGCAGTGTAAGAGCAAATCTGTGTGCTGCTGCTTTCCTCCCACCCACTGGGGAGGGGGCCAGGCAGAGAAACAGAAACTGAACAGGAGAAAGTCTTCTCAGGACTGCAGATTTAAAGGGCTGAATTTAAATATACCAATTATTGAAAAGACCCCATCCTGTCTTATTAAACAGTAACTGCTAAGGTGCTGCCACTTTGGAAAACTGTATCTACCTAAGCTGAGCATTTACACGCCCTGCGACCCAACAGTTCTTCTCCTATAGGTGCACTCAACAGAGGCATGTCCACGTGGGCCCCCAAAACTGAAAGCTATTAATATGTACTAGCATGTTCATATCAGCACGATTTGCAACTTGAAACCTCCCAGATGCTGGAATAGGATATATTTACACAGTGGAGTACTGGGCAGCAAAGAGAATACATGATTTACAGCTATAATAGTGTAGATGAATTTTATAACCATTATGTTGAGTCAAAACAGCCAGACACACAAAAAAGATCTACTATATTAGATTCCATTATGTAAAGGACAGAAACAGGCGAAACAAACCCATGCTACTGAATGTCAGGACAGTGGATTCTCTTGGGGAACAGTGACTAGGAAGTGGTTTCTTGGGTGCTAGTAGGGTTCTGTTTTTTGATTTAGATGGAGGTTACATTTGTACGTTCAGTTGATGATTCACCGAGTTTGACATCATTGTTACACTTTTATGTATATCTATTTTGCTTTAATTAAATTTTTTAAAAGTGCAGCAAATGAAAATACACTCACTTTCGATTTGACAAAAATAAAAAAATAATTGCTGAATATTATGTCTCAGTCTCTCATATCATAATTAAAAGACCAACAATATGTTGGCTTCATTTATTCCTTTGTAAAGATTTGCTAGACTATCTGTTGTTAAAAGGAAAAAAACAAGAAGAACTATAGTAAGCCATTTGAAGCTTTCATTTAGAGGATACATGTTCAAATTGTTTTTAAAAATCTGGGGGCGTTTTGCGAAGATTTACAACCACAGTGTCCTGTTTTTCAGTTTCACCCCCCAAAAGCCAGGGAATATACAATAGCTTTATGGGTTTGGTTTCCTTGTAGTCCTTATATTTAACTTGTAAATTGCATTTTTTCTTAAAAAAGAAAAACATATGGATGATCAAAAACCCCAAACACATCAAAAGGATAAGATCCCCTTCCTTGAGGCAACTACTGTATGTGGGTTCTTCTGTACTCTTCACAGAAATTTCCATGCAAATGTGTGTGTTCAGTTTAAAAACTTTATACAAATGGGCATATAAAATATGTACTTCTGCCTCTTGCGTTTTTCACCTAACACTATATTTTAGAGATATTTCCAAGTCTATCTGCAATGAAAGTGCTACTTCTTTCTTTATTACTAACTACCTGATTTTCCGTGAGAAGAATGGCTCACTGGTGCTTATTTTAAGTGCATTGCTAGAGTATGAACTATGGGACCAAAGACTTCATTTTATCTCACAACAAGTTGACATGTTGAAAATACATCCTAAAGTCTAAGTGCCTTGGAAATTTTGTGTCTAAGAGGAAATTCTCTCTGTTTTGATTCATTCATGATTTTACAACTTTGGTTGGATTTCTATACTCTAAATTAAAATAATACTTCACTATACTGTTTTTTTTATTTTCTTGTTTTGAATTTTTTACGTAAAGCTGATACCATGTAAAGGCAGATCTGAGGCGAACGTTATTGTAACTGGGCGGTCTAGTGTCACGCAGGTCACGTTTATGTATTCACGTTTGTGCATTGACCTATATTACGTATTTCTAAGATTACTTAGCATCTTGCTCATATTTCTGTGTTCCAGATCCCAGTAGATCAATTCAAGCCATCCGATGTGGAAATCCAGGCTTGCTTCCGGCACGAAAACATCGCTGAGTTATATGGCGCAGTCCTGTGGGGCGAGACTGTCCATCTCTTCATGGAAGCAGGAGAGGGAGGGTCTGTTCTGGAGAAACTGGAGAGCTGTGGACCAATGAGGGAATTTGAAATTATTTGGGTGACAAAGCATGTTCTTAAGGGACTTGATTTTCTACACTCAAAGAAAGTGATTCACCATGATATTAAACGTGAGTGTCTCTGGATGTGGGCCTTTTGGCTCAAAGAGACTAGTTAGAAGGCAGTGGGCTTCTCCTTGCCATCTGAAGACCCCCAGCGGCAGGGAGGATTGGGGCCGGGCCCAGCTTCTCTGAACACGCTGAGACGTGTCATTACACAAGCATTCAGTGACTCCTTCCCAGGAGTCAGATGTGGTGGAGAAATAGGCAAGAGAGACCCACTGTGACCCTTAACAGCGAGGGCTGAATTGGGACTCGCACAGCTTTTACTGGGGAAAACACTTTGTCTTAGCAAAGTGGCTTGATTATAGCATGCGCACGTCTCAGAATTTGAAACCCGAGCCCTTTGAGCGTCACTGATGGACGTGATCATTTACACCCACATCGGCGGAACCCCTGACTGATCTGAAGTTGATTTTCATCCAAACTCTCACCAGAAACCATCCTCCTCTTTTGAATGGGATACACCCCTCCCACTAGGGAAAGCATTTTATTCTTTTCTGATTTGGGACTCATTATTGTTTTAGATAACATTTTCACTTTAGGTATGAGTATATAGAAAATTTTATTCTAAAAATGTTCTTCTCATCACAGCCAGCAACATTGTTTTCATGTCCACAAAAGCTGTGTTGGTGGATTTTGGCCTAAGTGTTCAAATGACTGAAGATATCTATTTTCCTAAGGACCTCCGAGGAACAGAGGTAATTATAGCCACACAAAAATGGTTACCATTAAGAGTGAAAAGAAAAAAATATTCGAGAATTACCATGGGAAAGAAGGACAAAGAGCTGAAAGAAAATCATT